AAAATCTCTCTTTATTGATCTTTCACTTCCTGTATTTTCTCTCTGATTTCACTCCTTACATCATCCTTTATCTCAGTTTAACTATGACTATTTTAAACTCCTTCTGACATTTCTTCCACATGAAATTTGTTATTGAATTATCTTAATCTGTTTGGGGCATTTTGTTCCCTTGATTTTTCATGTTTTTTGTGTGTCTACCCATCCAATAGTATGGATCTGAGGTAGTAGAGTTTCTACCTTGTGGACTGATAGTGTCCCTGAAAGTTTCCTGTACCTTACCATTTAGGGGCAGGCAAATAATAACAACCAATGCAAACAATATATAGAATTAAAACAAATAGTTCCTACTATGACATATACAATGTTAATTGTCCAATAAACAGAAATATTGTGTCCAGTTATTGCCCACAGTAATAACAGTAAGTTTACAAAAGGGCTTACAATTTTAAAAGATGGAAAGGGAGAGAACAGAAGTGATATAGGATGTGATAAGTATGAGGTAGGAGGAGAGTAAGTAGAAGTAAAATATTAAACAAAGGGTGAAAGAGAGAATAGAGATTGGCTGTTAGTAGAAGAGAGAAAGACAATCAAGGGAAACAGATAAATGAGAGAAAAACTATATAAATTTTTTAAAAAATACAAAACTGAAATATACTAACCAAACATCCATGTTTTCAAAATAATGATCCATGAAAAATAGCTGGCTTCAAAAATGCTAGAAATGAGAGAAAAATAAATATGAATGTATAAATGTGCATGAAACATTTAGGGAAAAATTAATCAGAGGAAAGAAAAAATTAAAAACAAATAAAACTAAAATTAAAAACAAAAAGATCTTGATGAAAAGTTAAGAGTGGTTTCTGATGGAGTTCAAAATATTCTTGGCTTCCCTTCTCAGCAGTGCTAGGTGCAGTGGGCTGGAGTGTGATGCCTGGTCTACCCTCAGGTTGGGGTTACTGGAGTGTAAGAGTAAATCCCATAGGTGGAGCTCTTAAAGTTGGGGTTTAGGCTTAAAAAGGTTGTTTCTTTAGTGGTGATTGGTATGAAGATTTTAAATCAGCACACATTCAGGGCCCAGCAGTTGCCAGTCCATGCTAGAAGACTGCACACTAGGGATCTCTCCTGTGTTCTACTTTTGTGGCAGAGGAGCCAATTCACGTCCCCTGTGGACTCCCTCTCCCCATTTCCTGGTCTCTTAGGTTCAGTCTCTTAACTCAATCTCTCTGGCCTCTGGATTTCAAATTGCTGGCCAGGTGAATCTCTCCCAGCAGGTCCTGCAAGTGGCCACACTGGGTTCGGGGGAGCCGAGTGGGTTTCCACGACCAGTATTCCCCTGTGTAAATCCCTCTCCATCTTTGATTTTCTCCTAGTCACTTAGGCATACTCTATGTTCTGCAATGTTGGTTTGTCAGGCCTGTATTTCAGGCCAAATTTGGTATTGCCAGTAATCACCTCCCCCAGCTGTTGCCCCGACCCCCCACAAAAAGCTCATGTGTAAGACAATGCAAGTAAATTTATAGGTGAAATGATTGGGTTATGAAAGTCTTAATCCAATCAGTGAATTAATCCAAAATGGTAATTAACTAAGTGGTAACCAAAGGCAGGTAGGGTGTGGCTAAAGGAGATGGGTCATTGAGTGCCTTTGGGGTATACATTTTGTGAGCTTAACTTAGTTTTTCTGGTTCTTGGTCATTATTTTCTGAGCTGCTTTCCTAAAACACACTCTTCTGCCATGATGTTCTTCCTTACTTCAAGCCTTGAGGAATTGAGTCAGCCATCTATGGGCTGAGATCTCTGAGGAAACTCCATAATGACTGTACTCATTTAGTCTCATTGTTTCTAAGGGCTCCCTTTTCTCCAAATAGTCCTTGCAAACACTTGATACCTTTTTGAAAACTGCCATTCTAACTGAGGTTAGGTGAAATCTCCTGATTTGCATTTCCCTGATGTTTAGGGATGATAAGCATTTTTTTTCATGAGTGTTGGCCATTTGTATACCTTCTTTTGAGAAATATCTATTCATGTCTTTTGCTCACTTTTATTGGTTCTTTTCGGTCAACATTAGGGTTCATTTTGACAAAATTATAAATGGATGGAAAATGATTTGCTCTAAGTCAGTCCCTAGTACTTCCCCTTTCTCTACCCTCACCCCTCCTGTTCCCTTTCTTCTATTCTACTGATCTTTCTGCTATCTTGCCCTTTTTCTTTTGTAGGTTTTGTCTTGTAGATATAATAAAGGTGAGATTCACTGTGGAACATTCATATATGTATGTAGGAAAGTTAGGTCGGATTCATTCCACAGTCTTCACTAATTCCATCATTTTCCCCTCTCCCTCAATCTCCTTCATCTAGTCCACCCATCTATCTTCTATTTTGATGGAATCCCCTCTCCCTACCCCAGCCTTATTTTGGACTAGTATGCAATACCTATCAAAATAACAATGACATTCCACACAGAAAAATAATCCAAAAGTTGTATGGTGAAGCAGTGGGGAGAGTTAATGGCATCCCCCTCCAAAAGAAACTCTCCCACCAGGATCTCCTTAAATCTACTCTTGATCTTTCAGGGATTCATTAATTCCTGCCCTAAAAATCAGCCATTTTTATCTACTGAACCCATGTACTCTCCCTAGAATCTCCTGAGTTACTTGGGTTGCTTATCAGCCTCTCTACTTTTACTACCTTTGTATTTAATAATTCCTTTAAAAGACCCAGAACCATAATGTACTGCCTGAGAAAATCTCAGAAGGAAAACTAAAATGGTGCTCCTCTCCTGCCTTTTCATTTTTGCTGAGATGTGAGCCACATTCACAGGGCCCCATATCTCACTGTTCCTTTTGGGGGGAAGTATAAATCAGCTCCAAAGGATGGCAGAGGGAGAAAAGTGAGGGATGTCTTTATAAGATCCCATCGACTTTTCCAGCATTCTCTGATTTAAAGTCACTTGATGGCAATTATTATAGATACTCAGGATTTTTATACAATCATATTAAAATGCCAAGGTGTCACAAAGCAGTTCAGACTTCAGTAGCATTGTTCTTCTGTGCATTCAGCATCCCAGCAAGTCTCCTCTTAGTGGCTGTGAATGAGATTTCCTGGGACATATAATGCAAGACAGTGCTGCCACATTTGCTCCCTTTCCAGTGGTCAACCCAGCTAATTTGGCAAAAAAGATAATCCTGCATGAAACCCAAAATGCTTGCCATTCAGCTTCACTTATTTCTTGGGGGTAACCTGTTTATCATATAAGTAATTCAAGCCTCAATGGACTCTAATGACCATTGCTGGGACTCCAATTCCATCAGTGTACAGAAGCCCCACAGGTTGTGCCTCAATTTTCTCCAAAGGGTAATAGGTGACACTGTATGACACACACATTTCAAATCTAAAGGTTAGGTTGCATCAATTTTTCCAATGGCACTTGGGGGCCAAGGGCTCTTTTCTCCCAACTTCTTTCTCCTTAGAGCTCACAGGGTGGGTGGAGTGTCAAAGGATCACACTACCTCAAAGTGCCTTCCTTATACAACTTTCCAAGGCCCTTGGAACTTATGGTTATAAATAAGCACTGTGATAGCATGTTCACCAGTGATTTTAGATGCTGAATTAGGGCACATCAAAGAGAAACATATAAAAGATTTCAATGAGGATATCATTAGAGAAGGGAAAGAGGCACAAGGATACCATTCACCCATGCCAATGCCTGGGCACTGCTGATTGCACATTGGGGCTGTACTATTTCTTCCCTGTGCATCTATCTTTCCAAAGAGCAAGTCTAACAGCACTGCACATGGAGACTCAAATAAAAGTTTACATACTCAGTAGTCTGAGTTTAGATACCAACTGTTAGCAGAGTTTTTTTGGGGAACGCTAGCTGCTAGTACCTGTGACCCTGTAGGAAGCAGGATTTGCACTCCAAGGCACTGAAATCTCCAGCTAGCCAAGACAGAGTTCAGTTTGTGTACACCCTCCTTCTGCTAGCTGGTTACTGGGCAGTTAGGTAGGGGCTCCTGTTGGGTTCTCCACACTTTTGTTAATTAAACCTGATTGTGTAAAGCTCTTCAAAGACTCACTAAAGGCCAGCATCTTTAACTAGGTACCATACATCCTCCTTGACAATCTATCTCCACTCTTCCTCAAATTCAAAGTTTGTTAGTCACACTGAACTTTTGGATGCTTTCTGGATACACTGGATTTTTCCATGCCTAGTTCAATGCTCCCAGGCTCACTCCTTTTGTATAAATCTTAGGTAAGGTTTTACTTCATCCGACTCCATGCCAGGCCCCAATTTAGGTCATGTCCCTATGTGGGGTCACCTCACCATGTACATCTTGGTACTATGTACTGAAACTGCTCATGGACTCACCAAGCTCTTGTACTATTATCCTTGTATCTCTAAGAAGCTTCTGTAGTACCTGCACATATAGTGCAAGTTTAATAAATACTTAAAGAGAACCAAATGAAATCAGGTAGGCGGTACTTTGTAGCACTTACTCTTTGTAGCTTTAGCCATAAACTTCGTTAATGTGTGAACAATTTTGGAGTTAGTACCCCCAGCACTAATTTTCCTTAATCCAAGAATAAACTAAAATCTGTAGAGATGAAATGACTTATCCTGATGTAGAAATGTGGAATTCACCTCCTCATTTCTCTCATTCCTGTCATGCAGCTATCTGTGCTACACTGGCAAGTTTTAAGGACAGATTCCTTGAGCACTATTAGTACACTATTCTTTCATACAATATCTTACAGGTCTTGATCTCCATGGAAATATGACTAAGATGCCTTAATATTTATCAAAATAACTTTATATTTAAACAAATGAGTTCTTTCAACATAAACCATCCATGTTTTGCATGATACAGAATAATGGTAATAAACCCCAATTCCAAGGATTCCTTGTAACCATCTTTTGTTGACAGTTTTATCTTCCCTCCTTCCAATTTCAATCTATCCCTGTAATCAAGTGTACGGTACACAGAAATTGGAAGACGTTTAAGGACTCAAATTTGAAGCTTTGTCTTTAATCATTTAGCAAGTACAATTTTCAAAGTCTTTTCATGCCTTCCCAGTAACATAAAACTCCTTAGCATTAAAATAAGAGCGGACAGGTGGGATGGGATGCGGTGGGACCTGGGGTTGTGGCTTAGTTGTAGAGTGCTTGTCTTTCATGTGTGGGGCACTTGGCTTGATCCTCAGCACCTCATAAATAAAAGAAGTATTGTGTTCATATACAACTAAAAAAAATATTTTAAAAAAGGATTTTCTTGGTTTCTTTGTGAAAAATTCTGAGAGAAAAAAGCTCGAAAAAATACACTGAGAAAAAGATGCTCAAGATTTAAATCCTGGCAACAGTTGTGCCTTCTGAGCAATCAAGACTAGCATCTGGTAATGAATATTTCAGAATAGCTGGTTATCAGAAGAATCTGAGGTTTACATGGGAAATGCCATTTATGGCCATGTGACAAACTGGTTCAATAGAAATTAGAATCAGTGTATGGACTCTAAAAGCCACTACAGTCAAAACCACCAGGAGCTCTAAGATCATGATCAGATGACAGAAGTGCTTCTAAGTCAGCCAAGTTGAGTGTCAAGCCAGTGGCTGCCAACAGGCTTTTCCTTTGTAGGGCTGAAAGCTACTATGAAATAAGTTACTTAAGGCATTTCTACCTACTCCTTTAGAGACGGACTGTGCCCTGCAAGGCAAAATCAACATCAGAAAACCAGAAAAGTACCACAGAGGAAATTTGAAAAGCAGAAAACAAAGGGGCATACCCTCTCCCCCAGAAATAAACAAAAACATCAATATAGGATATTTGTCTAGCATCACTCTGGATTCCCAATAGCAGATGGAATGGTAATACTGTCAACTCTCAATTGTACCTCTTTTAAGGCTATAACCTTGCTGGAGTTTCTTGAAGTGACCACAATAGCTAATTCCTAGATACATTCTACCTAAATTCTATTACTAAGACATTGATATCAAAATATTTTAAAACTATACTGAAATAATATTTTCTAAAGGGAGGATATCATTATGGGTGCACAGGTAGGAGTATGTATTTAATATTGTTTAGTAGCATCCTATAAGATGTATTTAAATTATATAACTGAGAACATGGAGAATTTTCAAGTATCTTCATTTTTGCCTTTTAAGGACACCTAAAAGATGAATTGCAATCACACATTTGCTTTACATGATAAATACCCCCGACATAAATATTTTTTAGGTTTATAGAAATTTAAAACCAGAGCAAACATCTGTCAGACTATATTTTTGCTTTTTCATAAGTGCAACTTTTTAATAAAAATTTACATCTAGATAAACAATCTTCAGAGTTTTGAAACTTTAATAAGATTTTAAAAACATCATGACTTCAAACTGAAAAACATACACATTTAGCACACAAATATTGTAATATGAATCAACTCCAACTCCATTTGAAAACATGTGAATCAAATTACAGTTTTAGAAGTTAGTAATTCACATTTAAGCAAGTTAGCGCCTTGCTGAATTCAGCCTTTGTAAAAAAGAGACTTAGTGCATATTGTAACGGTACATTGTGTTTTGTACCATTTTGCTGATTTTTTTCACTTTATTAAACAATAGTAAGTTCTTGAAAGTTGGTAGATAACGGCTAACTTCCTATGACATGTGAAATTTCCAATGGCAACAGTTACATTTTGTAACAGAACACTTTCTATAGATTTCTTTTCCTATCTTAAAATTTTAAAAGCAATCATTTGTAAGGATTGCATCAACATCAATTTAGCAGAGGAAGATCAAACTTTATTGAAACTGCTTGCATACAAAATATATTGCACTATAACCAAACAAATGTCAACATAAAATCCAATCTGTTGTCGCTAATATGTACAGAGAATATTGCCCAAGAGCAGTTACATTACAAGGTCATTCTACCTTGGTTAATTATCTACAGTATTTTAAACCAAACAGCTTACAGATGATGTGTGCAAGGTACCAATTTCTGTTTGCAAATACTATACATTCCCAGAATAAATAACTAGAAATCAACATTAATGTTTGGCAATACTTTTTAAAAGACTTTAATATTTGTGAAATCATGTGCAGTTTGTCGCCATTTTTATATGCTTATTTGTATGCAAGGAAAAGTAACAAAAATGAAAACTCAAAGAAACAAACTCACAAAATACATCAGAGGCAGAACTTCGGTTTGTACGGCTCTGTACAGATTCAGTGGTACCCCTACTCGGAGTTATTTTTTAAGAAAAATATAACATCTTAGAGTGAAGGTCCTTCACATATTTTTCCTCAGTAAATTTCATTCATTTAAAAAAGAAAGACTCAAAAACAAAAACAAAATCCAACACATCCAAAAAAGGAAAAAAATGTATTATTTGCTAACCAATCCTAGTCTGCTTTTCAATTCTGCTTATACATCAGACCTTATATCTCAAAGTTTACAAAACATTTAACCTGCTTCCAATGTTTCTTAGACAAAGTACCTGTACTTTGCAGGATTATTGTGTGTACATGAAAATGACCTTCCTATCTCCCCCAAATAAGCCGGAACTTAAAATGTGAAAAAACTTCACAAAACTTAGGGAGGACAAAATAAAAAAAGTTCTGAGTTAAAATTGGTCATCAGGCCAAAGAGCAGGCATATCCTACTAACTTTCGACCAGGAAGATTTGTTCCTAGCTGAAAACATTTTAGCCTCTCTCAAATGAAAAGATAGTTATTTCTTCTCCTGTCTATACAGAAAAATTACACATCCCTTTCAATAACACTATTTGTCAAACTTCAGTGCAACAAAACAAAAACAAAAACAAGTCCTATTCTTTATACTGCCTAACCTGATGTTTATGTAAGGAAAAAAATATGGAAAGCATGCATTCTTCTATAAAGTACTAATGTTTGACAGGGTTTGCTACATCTTTAACATTTAGTGTTTCCAACTTATCTTCCCTGAACTCTGCATCCAAATATAATATTCCTACCTGCCAAGATATAAAAAAGGCACAGATCATACAACTTTTTTTTTTTTGCTAATGAAAATGACAAATGTCACATCACACGTATTTCAGGGTCCACAAAAATACTGGAAAAGTGGACCAAAACATAAACTGACACAGGACATGAAATGACATAGCATTTCATAGACTCCTAAATGAGATTGAAAACAGAAGTCCAGTATGATTACCATAAATGCTATTTATTCAGAAAGACTGAAATGAACTGGTGAGTTATCACCCAATGCAGGAAAATGGTCCAAATTAATAAATATTATCATTGCTTAGTACTTTAAAAAATAAAACTAAAATCCTGCCCTGAAGTGCTAAGTATACTTAAAAGCAATGTTTCAAATTTTAAGATCCTTTTTGTGCAAATCTGAAAAATTGTTGCTTATGGCCAATACAAAAAATAAAATAAAATTCTCAGCAGAATTTGTGTTCATTTCATGCCCTGTGCCATCTTGCCTACTATTTGTCTTTGGCCTAACAAAGTTTTCTAATATGGAATAAGAATTACGGAAACGGTATAGGAAATATAACTTCAGAATTATGCAGTTTAGGGTACTCCATTCACGAGTGGTTGTTGACCATCCACGCTGTCTGGCTTTTCCTTCTTCTGGTTTCGATCTTTACCCGTGCGCAGCCGATTACCTTCGCTGGAGGTATTCTGTAATGTTTTAGTGTGGACACTCCTTTCATTATTGCAGTCAACTCTGATCTAAAACAAGTTATAGTTGTTATATATAGACCATATCCTATTGTAATCTTTAAATGGCCTGACAAGAAAAATAAGTCTGAAGTGTAAATTCCACATGTTCAAAAGGGAAATGGAGATAAGCATAGAAGAACTGCAAGAAATAAGATAAGGCAGGTTCTTTATTTGGTTTATGATTTGAAAACACTCTTCTTTAACTGGAGCATACTGGTCATCTCACTGCATCCAAAGTTAGAGAAAAACTCACAATCCTACCATGTCTCCTTCTAAACAGAATAAACAGTGAGAAACATTTAATTAAAATGAATTAGTATTACTGAACACCAGAAGAGAGATACAATGCTATATAGAGAGTATATAGCACTGTGTGTGTATGCGTGCACGTGTGTGTGTGTGTGTAAAACATACCTCATACTATGCTAATGCTGGAGTTAAAAAAGAACAACAGGCTATTCTCCAAAGACTGTGGAACCCAGGAGGAGACACACAAAACAATGTCTTCCTATTTGGGATTTACCAGGATAAGAATTCAGCTAATTCACTTATTAGACAGCCTTTAGTTTACACCTTTATATCTATCAAAGATTAAATTTCTCTGTACTAAAATTCCCATTGCATATGACTACTGCTTTCTAGTAGCATGTGCTTCAATAAGGCAATTCAGATGATCCTACAACATGAACTGTGAAGAACTGAATGTTAGAAGGAAATCTAACATTGTGGAAGGACTAGCATCCTAGAACAGTATAAGGACTAATGTAATTTTAGAATAACATTCTAAAAGTTACAAAATATTGTGCTAATTCTGAAAACTACTAACAGAAGTCCTGATGCTGTATAGAAGATATTGACCAGTGTACCTAAAACAAATATTTATGTGCTTCAAGTGCATAAGCTAAAAATGTGTCCAAATGGATGACTGCAATTGCAAAGTATGTTAAAATTTTAGGCCTGTGTTTTAAATGTTTGCTTGTCAAAGGTTCAGTGCTTTGTATTCATTTGCATTTTCACACAGAAAACATTTTTATTCAGTATTCCATTATAATTATAAATATGCATACTTTTAACCAATATGTTTATATCGTCAAGTTCATGAAACTTGTCAGTTTAAGTGAAGAAGCACAAAACTAGTAGAGAAATACCTGGTATCTTTGAAAAGGACATTATGGTAATATTTTGCCAAAGTTTTTAATCTAGGTCCAAGGCCTTTTCTATGCTATTCCTTAGGAAAATACCAATAGTTAAAATTTACTTAGAGGTAATATGAACTATAAGAAATATTTTACCATAAAGTTCTTAACATTTATCTCTAATAATGGGTGCTGATTCTAAACTAATCAATAGAGGGAACTCTTAAATCTGCCACCAGGGTTGGAATATCACTCCACAACATGCTAGCTATGTGAATATGGGCAAAGGACTATGACTTCAGTTTCCTCACGTATAAAACAAATAAAACTACTTATCTCAGTGAGCTGTAAGATTGAATGAGATAAAACACACACAGGAGGCATTTAGCAAAGATGCCCAATGTGCTTGAGGTAATTTTAAAATTATTTGAAAACTGGGTTTACCACTGATAATGACCATTTGAGAAGAGATCCTCAGAATAGACTATCTTAATTCAGGGGACAAGGGGCCTACGGTACTCATTTATTATCTCTTAGTACATTTCAGAATGTTCCTTTTCTTAGGGATTTGAGGGGGGGTCCTCAATGGTATTAAAATCCTAAAGTGGTTGACCAAGTCTTCCTAATGCTCAGACTCCATCTTCTCTAGAGAAATCCTCTTACTTGTATACTTGTCACAGAGGACTAAGACTGCCTACAACTGTAATATTGAAGGAAAAATACTTCACATGCTCCCAAATTTGAAATCTTTGAACATGTTTAAAAAGAAAGTAAAACTCAAAACTGAAATTACTGTATTCAAATAATTTATGGAAAGAGTCACATAAGTTTTACCTGAAGGGATCCATCAGCTGTTCTTCCTTTTGCCTCTCTTGGATTACGTGGGCGATTATCTGTTCGGGAGTGATCGTCGTTTCCTACAGGAGGATTTTCAAAAGGTTTAACAGTTACTGATTCTCAAGTGCTTACTGGAAGTTCTAATACCACGTCCTCTATGTAGACCAACCACAGAAACTAAAATGTAATTGATAGCCTAGTGATTCCAGTTACACAATTGTTAATACTCTATTCTGTTACCAAGAAACAGAAGGTATTATATACAGCATAAACAGGTCAATCTCAGTTAAGAATCAAATGCTTTTTCTTCAGAGTACTTAATGAAGATAACTAATTAGCTACTTATCTGTGTTTTTTCATATATTCTACATAAACCAAAACTAATATTGTGTTAATATACAAAGGAAAGGCTGATACTTTCCTATGATGGTCAGCACAAAAAAGGAGACAGGATTTTGACAGTACTTCATTGCATCTCCAAGCTATTTCATGGAAGTTCAGCCGGCTGTTACAGTTCACCATTATTTCTCAATAATGAAAACCTCTGTACCTTTGAAGCCTCCGCCTCGTCCTCTTCCTCCCTGTCCTCTTCCTCCCCCTCCACGCCGCCGTCCGTCTCCTCTGCGCAGAAAGTTCTCCCTCTCTTCCTCTGTTGGAGCTAATGACCAATCACTGAGTTCGTCTCTGTGGTCAGATTCTGTTTCAGAAGCATTTGATGCTTCAGAATTAGTTCCTATCGAGAGTTAAAAGTTATATACCATTGTCCGACTTAAAAAAAAAAAAAAGGTTAACAGAAGCTTCCAGAGACGATTCGGGGGCAATCCAATACTCTTCCCAATTTAGAAGCCCACCAGAGTATCAACACCTTCCATTTTGTAAAACAAATAATTGAAAATCTGAAATGTTGGGCTTTGAAATATTTGAGATGTAATTTTAGTTATAAACAGTTACTGTTTGGGTTTTTATTTTTTTAAAAAAGATATTTTATTAGCTATCTAAATTCAAACCTGAGTATGCCATATCTGTAAACAGCTGTTCTCCTTTAAACATCTGCTCTCTGGAGAAAAAGTTGTCTACAACAGTTCAGTGCAATACCTTAATAAACAAAAAATCTATAAAGAGAGCTTGTTATAAGATTTGGCCTGGGAACAGAGGAGAATGTACACATTTTGGTCACCTCTGAAAGGGCAGCAATGAAGGCCACCATGACATCTCAGGGAAGGGTCTCTTAGGGGGATGTGTTTGTCCGATTCTTGGCCCACAACCTTCCCTCCCACTCCCACTGAATTAACTGATCATTAATAAAGGAATACTTTGAAAACTTCAGTATGCCTGAGGGGTTAATAGTGGAGGGGATAGGAGTGTGGGAAAAGAGCTCCATGGTGAAGTGAAATTCACTGGTAAAAAGAACGGAGTATTGGGAGAGGGGTTAGGTTCAAGGTTAGCCTTAGGAGTAGGTATCTCTCCCGGACTCCAGAATATCAACTCTACTACCCACCCCCCTCTCTTCCTCCATTGGAGCTAATGACCAATTATAGCTTCACCATTATAGCTTCATTCCTGTGGATCTTGAAGGCTTTTCCATCTTAAAGAGTTCCTTTTTGAAATGCAAATATTTGTGAGATGGATTATACCTTACACCATCATTAGCAAGTAACATAGTAGATACACAGTTGAGCAAGAAAGACAGTAGGCACTGGTAGGTGGGGATGGGGTTCACTGAAAGGTACTGGGAAAGAAGATAGAAGCACGGACAGAAGAACTGGGAAGGCAAAGAGAAACTTCGCCTACTTCTTGACTGTGCCTAGGGCTGACATTGGCCATGCCACTCAAAATCACCTTATGAGTCACAGGATGCAGACCCCTGATTTACATAGTCCATCCAGCAAGTATGACCAGCACATGCCTGACAAAAAATGAGCCACAGTACACAAATGAAAAAAGTTTTGGCTATACAGTAATAAAATCAGGAGAGGTCTTAAGTCATCAACACACAAGGGCTTGAGTGGATTTATCCCCAATCAGAACATGGACAGAACTCAGAACTGCCCTGTTGAACTATGTGTGTCATTATTAGGTTTTACTCTATGTCTCTTGAAACACAATTTGACCCACTGTGAATTGGAAACCATGTAGTGAGAAGTTGTTATAATGGGGTTCTAATGATATTAGAGATTAGCAGCTATTAGGTCTAGGAACAGATAAAGTTACTGAGTAAAATGCTTAGTTTGTACCTGAAGTATATCCAGGACCGCGTCTGCCGTGCCCCCTATTTCTGTAAGGTCTACTACCTCGACCCATTCCTTGACCATCCTCAGTCACATAGCCTTTTTCCTTATCTGTACGATTTGGTGGTGGTCTAGAACTAGCTCCAATCTGTCGCAACTGCTCATCAATTTGTAATCTCTCCAAACGCAACTGGTCTACTTCCTATTTAAAATATACAAGATAACAGTAAAAATAATTTGACATTTTTCTTAATAATATCTTTCTCCTTTTTATCAGATAAAAAATATACTGGAAATATTTAAATTTCAGTTCTAAATTTATAGTAAACACTGTTACACAAATTATCAGGAAATTGGTCTCCTTAAAAAAGAAAATTACTATAGATAACAGGTTATTGATGTCCAGAATTAGAAATATAATAAAAACTCAGAATTAAAACTATACTGAATAAAATTTATGTTTATTTGATTTGGCACAAATTATCCAATTATTCTATGGCTAAGGCACAATATGCTATTTTTTGGGACTTCTTGATGATAGGATATTGAACAAAGCAATATTAAACTATATAAATACAGATAAATGACATTTTAAAGTATAGCCATCTAATCTAAAAAATCACACACTGTAAATTATCTTAATTAAAATAGATTTGCCAGTTAAGATCTCAATTTACAAATCACTGAGTTTGGGGCATCTTTTGCTTTAAAAGAACATATACTATTTTTGGATGTGATTATATAGTTAAAAACAATTATTTTCCATGAACTAAAAATGCTGATATTCCTTATATAAAAAGGGAAAACACTTTAATAGCTGAACAAAACAGTTCAGTCCTACATTATTCCTTGAAAACCCCTTAAAGTCTACAACTCTACTACAACAAATACAACAAACAGTATATATTCAGATGATTAAAACATACAGCTGGGGTCTACTGACAGACCCTTAAAAACAGTACTTCCAATAAGCTATAGTCTGTCAAATCCAGACAAAAACCTAATTTTAAACCCTTGTCCTTCCAATCTACCCATAAATATTTCATTTACTGGCTACAGGGAATCAGAACCATAACTACAGTAAGTACTGGGTGTTTCAGTCAAGTAGAAGTCATTGTAGAGACTGTCTATATAAAAAGTCACTGGAAAAACCCCTGAAAAGCTTAAGTTCCTAAAATATGGTGTGGCATCTGGAAAAGAAAGGTCAGTTAAGGATCACCTGTGCTCTAAACCACACAAGAGTAAAGGAGAGAATGCAGCTGAGTGAGTGGCTGCCTCCAAAGGTACAATAATAGCTCCTGGAATGGATATACGGATCTTTCATAACAGAATGGTATTCCAGGGTAATACCACTGAGGCAAAACAGTCACCTTTTGGTGAGAGATGCCAGGCCCAATCAAAGGAAGATCTGGTGATAGAAAGAATGGAAACAGGACAGCTGCTGATAACCAACAAGTTATTCAATTATGAAGAATAAATCAAAAGATCTGAGAGAGAACATTAGTCAAAAGAACAAAGGATTTGATACAGTGCAATCCTAACTGTCCAGGTCTTCACAATCATTTAAGCTAAGAAATGAAGAAAAACACATACAACAGATCACACACAAAACACACTGTTAACAACAATAACAGCAACAACAAAAAGCAAATCAAAAAGGTATCCTACCCATGCAAACCTTGCTGGATGAAACCTTCCCATTTTAAATTATTAACTGATCATCACTAAGAATGAACAAAATGCCCAGCTACTGCACTATTTCTTCCTTTCACTCTGATTTACATATAATTGCTCTCTTTTTATTTAAGTCAGCAAAATAAATCTTATTAGGATAGTGCCATAAAAAATGGAAAGCTGGATTACTTTCTAAAGACTATTTAATACCAGCTGTGTTATAATTTTGATAAATACAAGTACAAAGAAGAAATTATAAAAATGAGGTAAGAGTACATTTCATTATATTACAGGATATATTATAGGCCAAAAGGAATTTCAAAAAGCATTTAGTTTAGGGAAATAACTTGCTTAAAGTCATATAGCTAGTTCTTAGTTAAAGAGAGACTAGAAGCAAATAGCTATATTGTCAATCCAGTGCTCTTTTCACTATACCTTGTAGCCACTTGGTTCCTACCTCCCAGCTTGCAATCTAGAGGTAGAACTGTACAAACACTAACTAAAATGAGTAATTACAAGAAGACACAAATAGTTTGTATTTTGAAAAACAGAATAAAGAGAAAATATGAAGGGCAAACATTTAAACACAGTAGTTCATGAAATGCTGGAATTTCCTTGATAAATGACATAAAAGGGACAACAAAGGTGAGTGTTAAGACACAAAATTTAGTGTGGAAAAAAAGCCACAAAAGCTAGAACGAATCAATTGGATTAAATGGCTAGGTATAAGAATACCAAAATTGAGTGTAAGGGTTTAAGAGAATAAGCAGAAATACAGGAATTTATTGAGAATGGAATATTAGGTTCTTAAATTTACAATAAAAAAGTTGTGTTTTTAGAAGGAATATATTCAAGTTAATTTAGTATTTTCTCTATTTTCTTTTACAAGGCCATACATTATTATGCACAGGCTAGAATGATTCCAAACTGCTAAAAAATTTACTATAGTTTTTAAATTTTAGTGCAAAAGGATTGAAAGTTAAATTTTTCCTGTTCTCACAGCATATTAGCAATGTATAATAGAGTTGATGTTTAATACAAATAAAAGTATTTTCCAGAAAAATAAAATATTTTTTCTATCCTCACCTTTAAGTAGTTCAGGTGATAATCCAAGAGAACAGTGGCATTAGCTATGCTATCCTTTGTTCCCACAAAAACAAATGGTACCATACCCTGAAAAATAAATTATAGCAATGAATGTATAAAATTAGTGATTACTGCTCTGAAAAAATACAAGTAATTACTAAATTCCTACCACAGGGACTGGTGAACAATAGGTACATAAATGTTTGTTGAAAAGACAAATCAATATATAAAAACAAAAGTAGTTGATGTATTTTACACATCTATTTTGAATAAGGACAGAGCAATATAGCAATTATTAAATGTTGGCAAAAAACACTGATATAATTCAAATTTATGCAAGCTTTAACATGAGAAGTATAGACAAATGCTCTAATTCATTTACTACAAGTTTTACTAAATCAAATTCTTTAAGAAAATAATTCAAAACTAGATACCAGGATTTCAAAAGTAAAAAAAAAAAAAAACAAACCTAAATTTTGTTGAATAAACAGAGTACAATCAAAACAGGAACAGAAAGAATTAGGATATTGAAAAATGCACTGACAAATTAAGTTGAGAGACAAAAAAAGATACAGGCACATTCATGACCCAAATAGCAAGATCATATATATTTCAATAACATATTCTGAAAATTTTAGAAGGATGAATTACAGGGAAAATTTGCTTTTCTCTCTATGGATACCACTTTGATATTTATTAAATAAAATCATTAGCGGTTCCTTAGTTGTGGCATAGTTAAAACTACAGTTTACATGTCATTTATATGCCATCTTTCTATTTATTACTATATAAAACATTTTCTGTGGCTTGACTGTTTTCAAAATAATCAGTTTTGGTCTGCAAATTACTCCTTACTAATATAGATGTTATAATAAAGGATTTAACACCCCTGTGTATCTGGAAATTTTTGTTGCTTTCAATTGTTTAAAATTATAAAAATGATTGATATAATCAACTTTCTAAATGTACATTTTCCTCATTTTGTATTAGATTTATAGACTATTTCCAGGGGTCATACAATGAGAATAAAGTACATGAACATTTTTATATATGAAAAATATTAATAAAATGTTCTTGCACTGTTACATGTATTGAAACTGTCATCAATAATGTGAGAAAGAATGTTTCACTGTATTCTCCTTTTGCTTTCCTTTCTTTGTTGATTGGATGGGTAAAAAATTATGATTCCTTCTATTGACTTCCCTTAATTACTAGTGAAAGTTATAATTTTTGCATACTTTATATAATTGACTGTTAGATTGTAATATTATATATTCTATAATAAAAGAGAACAGATTTTTAAAAAGCATAATCTAAATATTTATACTTCAGACTCATCACTATAAATGAGAAAATAAACTCTTTCTCATCACAAGCAATAGGGGAGATCTGTAAAAAGCAGGCAATTATGACATACATTCAAAATTGAGAATATTTCAATATTTTGCAATTGAATACATATGGTTACTGATATTTATAAACAATTAAAGGAAAAGTATGATGGTAGCTTTGCTGTAGATATAACATAACTCTCTAGGCAAAGATAAAAGGTATGAGAAGCCAAGAAGCTCTCCCTTGAGCAAAGCATTGGTCTTTCATAAGAGCATTCATTTGATAAGTGTTGCTACTGTTGGGATGGTTTTACCTGCTTGCATTCAGTATACAGCATCTAAAAGGTATGAATGGGCTGGAACAGGGTTTTTTCCCCTGTACATGAGCATGGCTGTTGATGAAGAACAAAACTGAAGAATCAGAAAAACACCACTTTCAGACTGACATTCATCTAATAGGCAAGGAACTGCCTTCTGAGTAGTACTGGCCACCTAAAAAGGAGCCAATAAAAACTCCTAGACTTCATACTGATTTGTTTTTGCACATGTAACATGTAAAGTATGGAATCATCAGGTCTATAAATCAGAATTCCTTTCTCAAAAACATCATTTTAACTCGTATTTTTTTTTTTTGCCACCTAACTTTGTTACACAGCTGTTAATTGTGTTTTCTAAAATCCCATGTAAGAGAATGCTACACCCTTCCCAAACAATCACCAAAACCAGCTTTAAAATTCTGTGTTACAGATTCGGTTAGATTGACCTTGAAGAAAATCATTTAAAAATATTTTCTCTTACACCAGGTCCAAATTGTTTTACTAACCAAAGGCTACTCTAATTTAAGTACCTATCCAGAGGACCTGAGTAAGTTAAAAGAAAAAATAAAGTAGAATGGTGGCCTTTAATAGAGATACCAGGAAAAAGTGATTACCTATTCTAGTATGCGAACTAGGCTTCCCAGCAGAGAGGAATATCCAACCCACTTGAAATTATAGTTTTGTGCAAAATGACACTTGATTTTAATCTCTTCTGAGTTATAACATCTTTTCCAAAAACAGCTCTCCTAGGCCAGGGAGGGGGTGCTGCCCTCAAGGATCTATACAGTGTGGTTGAGGAGATCAACAAGTGAACATATAAAAGTTCTATGCTATGGTTTAACACAACGAAGCACAAAGGGAAAGGTTCTTGATGCATTCAGGGAAGGGGAACCTGAAGCAAGTATGTAAGCAAAGAATTGAGTAAGGTCAAAGTGAGGTTGGAAATGGAGGAGAATGAGTGCTCTGGGAAGCATAAACACAAAGTTTTCTACTGCACATATCTAGAAGCAACAGAATATGATAATGTTCAAAGAATTCCAAGTACTTCAGTATGGCTCAAGCTTCTCTAGAGTACAAGGGAGAAGAGTGGTGACAGATGACACTGGATAAGTAATTGGCATGAAAGCCTTGAGCTTTGTCTGCAGGAAAATTAATACACATTTCCACAAATACTCCTTCACCAGCCCCCAACCAAGAATGATCATTTTTAGTCTTTTTTAAACAAGGGGAATAAACATTAAAGTATAAACCTAAAATATATTTTTCAATGAGTGTCTTCCTACTTGCCAAAACTTGAGTTCAGGTTTCTGGAATTCCCTACTACAACTGATCAAACCACTAAATACCTAAAGAAGTATAAGGATTGCAAGTGATATTATAAAAACTCTTTAACAAATGATATACAGAAGATTGGATGTAGGACTTAATTGTAGGACTTCTAAAACCCATTTCTAAATTGATAGCTTAGTTCAAATAGTGAAAATGAGTTTCTAACTGTTTTTTTAATCTTTAAAAATCGCTTGACCGAAGGCACATTTTGAGCTACAAGGCCTGCAAACTTAAAGGAGATAGAGCATGGAAAAAATAAAGTACAGGCTCACAAGAAAAATGCAATCCTGTTATGTTTATGGTGTTAAGAGTTGTCGTTCTGAATAAACAGAAAGTATGTATTACTTCGGTTTGTAGTATCTCATCAGTTCACTAGCAGATCTAAAAAAATAGAACATGAGTAGTTCACCAGTCTAACCAGGAAAAAAAAATATTCAAAACACCAACAGTGACATCTGAATCAAAAAAATTACTTTTAATGTTTTCCAAATTGACAAAATAATTCTTACCCTCTGGACTTTTGTACTGTTTGGTTGAGTAAAATGGGTGCTGTTTTCCTTTATATCTAAATGTTTTTTTTCTTCAGAGGGATTAGGTCCAACCCTTGAATTATTGGAAGGTAGGGAATTTGGTGGCATAATTTCCTTAAAAACAAGCACAAAACACAAAAGATAAAAAGAACCATTTTTAAGACCTGTTAACTCCATGACTGCATAAATGATTATTTTTTTTATTGGTTATTCAAAACATTACAAAGCTCTTGACATATCATATTTCATACATTAGAAATGATTATTTTTTTAAGAATGTAACTGATAGAGTACTTTGGTATATTAACATCATGCACTAAAAAACTGCAAAGGATTTAACTAAAAGAACCTTTCACAAAAAGTGGGTAGATGTGTGAAATTTGACATTTGGAGGTGACAGTATCTTAAAGAGTACTACTGTACAGAAGGGCATAACCTCATTTCCCTCACCCCATACAAACACTTCAAATGTTGCTACCAAAAGGTATATATTCAGGAAAATAAAAGTGAAAGTTATAAAAAAAAAAGTTATGTAAAATTTAAAGATAAAAAAAACATAAGCACACATAATCCTGAAACTAAAAAAAAAATGTCAAAGGTGGAACTTGTTTTTTGCCAGCAACATTAACATTTGAAAATGCTTTACAAAGCATTTTCACACATTATCTCATTAAGTTGTCATTAATGCCAAATCCAGTGATGTATGTTTCATATTAAAAAAATTGTAACTAACCATTTTAAAGATTAGAAAATAAGATTTACATAGGTTAAGATGACTAATCTGAAGTCACAGCATTAGACAACAGATAGAGGCCATCATGTACAACTATACCGTTAGTTATATCAGGCATGTTGGATGATCAAAATATCTACAGTCATATATACATATGTGACAGAGAGGTCTAAGTTAGTATGTCAGATAAAAAATAGAAGATTTTTACTTTTATTAGACAAACCAGAAACATGAAATATAACATACCTCTTCCTGTGGGACATTTTTCTCATTTTCGGCCTCAATTCTCACCCTCACAACTCCTGACTTGTCCACAATCTCCTGAATCAGTTTTCCATTTTTTCCTATTACTTTACCTAAGTAAGAAATTAATAATTCACTCACATTCTCCTGTAAATTATCTCACGTATTTGTGTATGTATGTGTTTAGACATACACATACACACAGAATTGTAAGATTCAAACAGAGGCCCCTGTTGTGACAGTTAAATTAGTTTTCTCCTTGATTAGGTCATCATAACTTAAATGCCTTTGGTCAGGTACTACAGTTGATTAATACTTGTGAACTGATTGGGTAATTCAAACTTCTAAGGAAGTCCAAAGATAGTCTATTACTTTGCATACGCAGGAGGTTATGTACAATTTAAACTTGCTGGTAGTGTGGTGCTTTATTATTCTGCAAAGTTCTACAAAAGAAATTAAGGAAAGAATAATTGTAAATATCCACGCTCAACTGACAATTTTGATTCTTATCTACATGTGATTCAAATCTGCCTCTTTATCCATTCATTCTCATTTTTAGAATTTTATAAAAGATACTCTAAGTTTAAAAGTGGCTTATGCAGGTATACATAGATCTAAAAGGAATACAATCTCTCACGCCAGGCTATTAAAATATTATTCCTGTGTAGTACTCAAAACTCATAGAATAAAAGATCAAGGTAGCACAATGAAAATCATAATGAAAAAGCAAAATCTTAAAACCTGTGTAAGTACTCTTCACTAAAAAAAAAACAGAGTTCAAGTACTAGTAATAAATAGGCACTGGATTCTTTCCCTTGTTTTAGAAATTCCAGCCACATACATCACTGGGACATAACTGCTTTCAGAGCCATCATCACACATTAGTATAAAGCAAGACATTACAAATATAATAACTACTAATTCTAGAAATGTGTGTGAGCTGTATTTTGTTTCAAGAGCTCAGCAAGGTATCCATCATATGCTTGCCCCACCAGCTTTTCTGAGGCAGAACTGAGGAAAAACATGTAAGCCAAAATTTGCTTTGAGCCAATCCTAGATAAGAACTCAGGAAAGATCTCCTCACAGAAGGATCCTGTGGCTCTTGTAATTAGAACACAACTTTGACATTTTTGCTGTGTGTAGCTGCATCAGAGCCTTTGGTCCACTCAGTGGTCAGGAAACAACAGATGTTATTAAATTAGAACACCTGACCTAGGATCTTTTGACAATTATTTCTGGTCCTATTCAAATAAAAAGGAAAAGAGAAGGGACAGTGAAGCTACCTGGATGGAGTTTCCCATAGTTTGTTTGGGTACTGGGAATTGAACCCAGGAATGCTCTACCTACCATTACTTCTTTTTAAATCTTCTCATTTTTTTTTTTAATTTTGAGAAAGGGTCTTGTTAAGTTGTTGAATCTGGCCTTGAATTTGCAATCCTCCTGCCTCAGCCTTCAGAATCACTTGGATAACAGGTTGTGCCACTCTACCCAGCCCACAGTTTCTTTTTATTTATAATAGCTATATTTTCATGAATCAATGCTGGTTTTAATAAAAGTCTAAATGAGTTAGCAAAAAAGAAAAATGAGATTTTAGCATGTTTCTATTAAGATAATATCTTGACTATCCTAAGTATTATACAAGTTTAACACAGCTGAATAATTAAACAAATTCGTTGTCAAAGCCAGGGAAGAACAAGAAAATTTTAAGAAAAGGAAATCATTATACACACTAAAGAGAGTTTGGGAAAAATAGATAATAAATCATATTGTGAGACCTAACAAAACTCTTGTAATATTGATTATGACATCTCCCCTAAAGATTGCCTTGCCTAATCTTATGTAAAAATGCTTTCTTAAAGTCCCCCAAATTGCCAGTTTTGTAGAAGCCCTCTCAAAAACAGAATACTCTCACTTTACTAAATAGAAACACAACACAACAAAAAACAGGATGATTTACTTCACAAGGCTTTCTGGTAAAAGATACTTTCAGAGATCCTCTTCTTTCCAGTTAAGACTATAGGTAGAATCTACTTTTATTTAATAACAAATTATGAAATTCAATATTAAACAATTATTTTGAATCCCAACAGACAATTGACTATAATTCTGCTTTACTGAAATGAGGTTGTTTTGAATAAGGTAAAGGAAATTGAATTGAGTCCACTATTATGCCCAGAACTGCACTAGGTACTTTATATGTACACATATACATAATTCTGTAAGGTGGATATTTTATACTTATTAGATAGGTGAGGAGAGAAGACTCAAGGAAGCTAAAGACTAAAATCCAGAGCCAACCCCTATGCCCAAGCACCTCCCCCTACCATCATGCCTTCTCTAAAACAATGTTTTATGAGACATATAAGCATCATCAATTTGATATTTTTTTAAAAAAACTAATACTATATTTTCATAAGATTTGCCAAATTTACAATAATATTTCTTATTTAAAATTGTAAGTGCTTGCTTGACAAGCTATAAAGAAGAAAATAAATATCATTTATAACCTCACCATCCTGAGATATTCACTTCACCCTGTGCTATACATACATTTTCTACACAACTGGTATGTGAATTACCTCAATAACATTACACATTCATGTTCTTTAATTTGTCTGTAGTATACAACTGAGCTTTTAATTCTGCATTATTTCACTAGTATTTGTATTTTATTTTTAAGCTGATTTTCTGTGGGAGAAAAATACCATTACTAGTGTTTTTTTAATGACATTAAAGATGTTTAAAATTCTATGCTGATAAAAAGCAAGCTATATAGTTCTGAAACTATGTCCACAAAATGCATAAGTCATCCTTGTTTTCTTTTTTAAACTTTCCCAAAAAGTTGCATTACCTCCTACAGCAATCATGATTTCAAGGTTAAAAGATTAAACAGGTACAGGCAATAGGTCTCAATCTTACTTACAAATTAAAATCATATTTAATTTCCTTGATAAAATTACACCTGTTTTTGATATGTTATACTAAAAATACCTGCAGCATTTGGGAGGGTTGGTGAAATGTTCTTAGATATTTGCTGACACTCATGATGGTGATGGTCATAGAACAGTACTCAAAAGTTAAAATAAGAAGCTACCAGTAACTTTGCAGAAAGTCCCAGAGACATTTATTTACTTCTGGCTTAAAAACGTACTAGATTTAAGTAACTTGCATTCAGATTGTCAAGTTGAGATAATTAAAATTAATGCTATATTTTATAGCCCACTTAGGGAAATAAAATACCTATCTACTATGAATTATAAAGATACCAACTATCATTCATTTAAAAAAACAGTCAATTTTAAGATAGAGACACTATACAGTGGGAAGTCTGGGTTTTAACTACCAAAGCAATCTCCTTTGCATACATTCTGATAATATAATCTGAGTATCATACCCAGTAAACCCTTTCTCAACATGGTAGCAACAGACTATATTTCAAAGATTGCAATTCAATTAAGTGATACTCCTGAGTGAGGAAAAATTGGATTCTATTGGTATAAAAATTGTTTACCTGAATTTTATTTTTGTGGTGCATGTTAATGGTTATTTCTGACTCACCTACTAAGTTTCTTGGAACTTGTATGACATCTTCAGCAAATTCAAGAAAGCTTCTAGCCTTTTTCACTGCATCCTGATCCTAATAAAAAGGAAGAAAGTTTCAAGACAACATGATCAACCAGCAGCAACACTGATTTGGGGCAGGGGGCTAGTTAGTAAAATATTTACCTCTCCATAAATATGAAACGTGCAGGTATCTTCATCTAGATCAATAGCAGTGACCCCAGGTACTTTTCTTGCTTGCTGAATATTAGCACCATGAGTACCAATAGCTAGACCCATCAGATCTTCTCGTACAATAAACTGTTCATGAAACCTTGAGGCAAGCTGCCTTGAACTCTGAAGAGAAATACACATCTGATGAATATGGTTTATCAACTATTAAGACAACTGTATTTAGGTCAGCCATGTAAATTATCTTGACCCTGTATATTAGGGGCCTATAAATTAGTTTCAGTTGAAAACTAATTTTAGAAAAGATCTCCCACAGCATAAGTACTTTTTAGGTTATTACTGAAGGTCTATGCCATTTGATATTAAAGGAAAGAGCTTGTCGACAATTTTCCAAGCTAACTTTTGAAAACCTATTTGCAAGGCTGCCTTAGTTAACCAATATCAACAATTCAGCAATTAAGAAGCAGATCAAATGTTCCCAAATAAACACCAGCTCACTGGATCTGACAGACTCAATATTATTTAGGCAAAAACACTGAAAATTTCATCTTTATAGAACATCTTATTTTTATTTAAGGATATTATTTTTCTTCCTGGAAATAGTACATATTTAGGACTTAGTATCACTAGGTACTGTGTTCTAAACATCCCTCTCTTTAAATGATGGCATCAAAAGAACATATTCCCTTTTCTCCAAAGAACATATTCCCTTTTCTCCAAACCTAAGAAAAGGAATTTTAAGACTTGCTGTCATAGAAGTTAAATTGATTACAGCATGCCAAAGATTTAAAACTTATCTTACATATGCATCTGAAACCTAAAATTAGAGCAGAGTCTGTAAGACCTTGTGATCTGGATCCACAAGTATAATGAGCTCTTTCAAATATATTCAGTAATGACAAAACTAAATTCCACTGATACCCCAAACTTGTGGATAATCACTGTCTTTTAAATAGTATATAAAATTTTAATGTTTAGTTCTATCATGCCATTAATGCAAACCAAACGTATTAGTGGCTCATGTTGAAAATGGGAATTTCTTATAGGAATATGTGAATCTCTTTAATATTAGTAGTGAAGGAAGATAGGCATGCACACTAGTTCTCATTATTCAACACACCTGATAATTGAATGAATATACCTAAATGTAAATAATTCTGTTAAGTACAATTTCCATTTTTTTTTTTTTAGATTAGAGTAGTAAAATTCATTAAATATTTCTAGGACTTTCCAAGAAGTCATGCTTTTTGAGTACGGGTTCATTAACCTGGTTCCTTCTTTTCACTGATGATTCACTGATAAATGGTAAGCCAAAGATATGGTAATAGAGCATTTAAGAAGAGGCATATGCATATATTTTATAATACTCACAATAAAAGTAAGAAGGCTGCTCTGGCCTATAAATTATAAGACAATCACTAAAGAAACCACAAAATTGTGAACACAGGGATATCGAGAAAGAATGAGAAAAACAAAACAAAACAAAAAACAACCAATCAAACAGACCTCCATGGCCATAAGGAAAACAAAGTAAAATTTTCCTCTCTTGCTAACAGTTCAGTAATCACACATCAAGTTAGAATGTATCAAATTTTGTAGGGTTTTACAAGAATATAGTCTTGACTACCTTCTCTCCAAAACTTCAGTTTGGAACTTCTTTATATATATATTTCAACTGATGCTTTCCCCCTGATGAAATGAATAATGATAAGGAAATCTGGATTTTGACAGTAATCTACTTGAGTTGGCACATTGAACCATAATCCATTTAGTTTCTATGGTAATGGATGGAAATACTAGACTGTTATCAATGAAAATAAATGTATGATGATGGAAATTATAGGAGAATTAATAAAAGTAGATAAAATGCACCTTAAGAGACGAAATAGTAAGTAAGGGAAATAGCCTCTGGCAGGAATCTGAAGACAGGAGTTTTAAAGAATGACAACCAATTAGAATGAAGAAGTTCTATACCCTTTTAAACAGAGATAAACATACATAATGAAAGGAATATGATTAGATATTTTAATAATTTCTAGTACTTTAATGATAACATGTTATATGGAAGAAGCATTACCTCATTTTATTAGCAGCTTTGACAAACTTACAGTAAAAGTGCATTGACCAGAAGTCCCATCAAATATATGAACTGCTTAATTTTGAAACATCAGGCAAGAAAACTTTACTATGATTATGATTCATACAATTTAGCTTTCTAAGCTAAAATGAATTATTAAGAAATACTAAACGAATGACAAGCTGCCCATATTCAAGTTTTGGAATTATACATTTTACTCAAGGTAGCCTTACAAGTAGTTCGAGGAAAACTGACATACCTCCAGCTGCTTACTAGCTTCTTCATTTCTTAGTATCAGAGACAACTTAGTGCGCAGACTTCGAAAGTGCATGTCAATCAACATATGTGCTCGCTTTGAAGTGACTTCATTGATGGACTAAATGATTAAGTTAACAACGTTATTATCAAAGCAAATTCCCCAAGTGAAATAAACCAAAAATAGACAACTTGGAAACACTCACCAAAATGACAAGCTGATAATTTTCTGGATCATAAGTTACAGAGAAGGCACCAACTGCCTTTTTAAAGTCCTTATGTGCCGATTCTTTGGCACACCTAGAAATAAAAAGAAACCCATTGTTGAGTGATTACTAACTACTGACAAAAATATATTCAGATTTATACTTAGGAGAATCATGGATTCATATTAAATTTTATTTATGCAAAATACATTATATCCATTTAAAAGATTAGTTCCTTTGTTGTATATCTTGAAACAGTCAAATCAAGCACTTGATTTTATAAAAAAAAAAAAAAGAAACATTTATGTTCTAAAGGAATTACGTGTGGGTTTAGATTACCAAAGGAAACATATTTAGGGGAACCACTCTTCTCTGTAGGCTTTCCAATTTTGGTTACATATAAGTCAGTAGATTCCTTGAGTCAATATTTAAGAATTTATGGGGATAGCTACTGGGTATCCAATTTTGTTTTGGTTTTCCTTTAAATTTGAAGGAAATAAAAAAAGAAGTATGAATGAGAAGGCAGAAAATTTACATATAAATACAACCTCTAGAATAAAAAAGGGTTTCTATGTATTCTGATCTGCAATTTATCTGAGTTGCAGTATGTCCAAATCAAACTTACTATATGCCCTTGATAAAATTTTTAAAAAGTAATCTCTTAACTGAAGTCTTTAGCCATTACTCCATATCAAATATTATAAACATATCTTCAATCTTTTTTAACCCTGCTTAGTGCATACGTATTTAAAAATATTTTAGCTAAAGGGGAAAAATCTGGAGAAACTTTCATAGTCTAGAATTTGATTTGTCAAAATCGTAATATTTGTTTTTATCAGTTCTGAAATCTTGAAATTTACAAAAATGTTAGTTTATTTTACAAAATAAACATATGTTATGTACATTAGTTATGTATCTAGCCAACTAAGTTTAAACAAGCACCAAGTCTGGCTGTGATTATATAACTAGAGAAAACAAAAAAAGTTATTTTCTAATTACTTTTCAGACCAAACCATTTTTTGCCAAAGCTTACTGAACTTAAAAATTGACTTGTACTATTTTAAAATTTATATTATTTTAAATTCACTGCATATCATCTGCATGTTCTCACCATTTCTTGTGTATAAACTTACATTTGTCTTAAGTCTTCTGGCACCTCAAGTTTGATCTTATGGAAAGTATCTTTTGTAGCAGGTTTGTTTGGATTAACCGATCGTAGACGCTCAATCGTGACAATTTCATTGTATGTAGCATCACATGCTGCATATTCTATCACATAAAACTGAGAAATACATAAAATCATTCCTGCTCACAGTTTTAATTTTTTTAAATCAAGAGCGAAAACTTATACCTATTGAATTATTTTCAAAATAAATTCTTTATAGAAAAAAATCAATAAACTTAAATATACTGAACATATAGAGAAAACATTATAGAAAAGTGACTCAAATTTGGTATTAATTCAAATACAAATTCAAACTTAAATGTAGTGTCTGGGTTTAGAGAAGTATAAGAAAAAAATTTAAATTAGCATTTTCCTACCTCACCCTTTATCATCCTCACTTTAGCTAACCACCAACAGCAAGGCTCTTTTTCATTTGCTCTGGAATAAACCTACACAAAAATTGCAACACAGAATATTTATGATTAACATAATATAAAAATTTATACATTATCAGACATTGAGGAAATTTTCTTAAAATGCCTGTCAATTAAATCATATGCCATATGCTTCCAAACAAATTGTATCCTTGTCTCTACCCTGAGCTAGACAAAGATACATAATCAGAAACTACCTGAGATTGCCTGGGAGCTCCCTGTTAAAAGCAGTTCACCTAGTTCTTTGTTCTACTTCAGTAATACTCAGTACTCTGAACATGCATGCTTAAGAAAGTCTTATTGTTCATAAATGTGGGCACTTTCCTTAGCTACCTACTGAACTACAAAAATGTATCTAAAATGAACAAACTTGCTTTTGTTTTATTCAGATAAGCAACTAAACTAATCAGATGTTACTGACTATGGCCTACTGCCTTGTCACTAACGGGTAAGATCACTAACTGACCAACCACTCAGCCCACTAGGGATACCACGCTGTCCTCCTTGTTTTCTGAGGACTAAATGGACAGATCCTTGGTTACTGTTGGGACTCCTGCCTCCTCTCCACTAAAAAGGACAAATCCACGCTGGCAATCTTCTGGATATCACATTCCTGCTCTCTCACACACTGTGGACCAGTTCTTCTAACCGATCTCTCTGGTGACCACTTCAAAGTTCACTTACGATGTGCAGCATGGAACCTTTGGTGAAGACACTAGCAAATCATGGTTAATAGGAAAAGAAACAATACAATATATATGTTGAGAGATAGAAATACTCAGAAGCAGAAAGTAGAAGCAGGGAGGACAAGAGGGGAAGAGAGGAAAGACCCCAAGAGGAGAGAGAGGTACCAAATCTAAGGTTGACAAGCAGGTCAAAGCTCAAACTTGTCTCCCTTTTACAACTAGAGTTAATGGTTATATAACTTAACGTACCTTTCCTTCTGGCCTCCACTGCTCTCTAGACTCTGCTCTAGCCAAAGAAATAACCTGAACTGTTACGTAATACAGTGAGGTTATCCTAGCAACAGCATCTCAATGACTTCCACATGTCATGTGACTACAGAGAAAAACAAAAAGGTCCACTTTACCCCTTCAGCAAACACTATTATGAGTACTACTGATACAGACAGACCAAAAGACTTGGCCCTTGTTTTCAGAGAGCTTGTAATCTTCTGGGTAAGTAGACAGTGAAATGTCTTGAAATATAGATAACATTTCTGTTCCCTATTATGATCCCTTGCAAAATCAAGCCCCATTGCTTATACCTAGCAAGTATTCAGAACATGTTTGGTAAATAAATAATACTTTATTTATATTTTTAAATTATAGAAAACGAACCAGGCCTGGACATTGAGACCTTCCCTAATTACTCTCTAAAGTAGCAGTCCTGCACCTATATTACCTTTCATCTCAGCTTTTTTTTCCTTCATGACTTTCACTTGCCATGATAATAGCTATCCTCACTAGAATGTGACCTTAACAAAGGCAGAGACTCTGTCCTGTTTTGTTGCACCTTTGGTACCTAGAGTAGAAAATAAGAATTCAAGTACAAGAACCTAGTACCATTTTGCCTTACCTCTACATATGTGCGCTTAGTTGCTTTCTTCATATTTTAAATACAAATGAAGTTACTGTTATTAATAAGGCATTATGCTAAGTGTTATGCAGAAAAGAGAAGTAGCTCACAATGAAATATGAAAGGGTAGGAAGGAAATGGATGCTACTACACAAATTAATACAAAGGAGATTATAAGTGCCTTAAATACAAAACCAATTTCTAATGAACAGAGAATCATAAACACAATGATTCTGATCATGTGCTAAATCTCCATAGCAACGTTTAGTCAAACAGCTCAATGGCAGATGACCAGGTTGTTCACAGTATATTCTATGAAAAAGATTTTATCCATATGTATCAACTGAGAGCTGTAGGTTTTAAAAAATACATCAGGAAAATTCACTGCTACAGAAATAAATTTCAGGTCACCACTCTATTAAACAGAATGATTTGTTTTGTTTGTAAAATAAATTTTCCTAATACGTTTTGCTTAAAACAGGGATACAGTTATAAATAAACATTATTTAAATAAAAATTCACATATGGAAGGAAAGGGAAAAGTACTAATGGGCAAAAGAACTTGGGGCAATGACTTTTAAAGATATTCCCTGAGAGGGGCTAGAGATGTTGGCTCAGTGCTAGAGCACTGACCTAGCATGTGTGAAGCCTTGAGTTCAATCCCCAGTACTTAAAAAAAAAGAAAAAAAGACATTCCCTGAGTTCTACTGAAATAGACAACCTTAAGCATTGTATAATTTTATATTATTTCAAATCATTATTAAGAAGGGCCAGTCAAAAGCACATATCCACCTCAGTTATGAAACTCAAGGCAGCTTAAATAGTGCATAAAGCAAGGCAGAGATAGATATATAAAAAGCAAAGGCAAATTAAATACACAACTCCTTCCATACTTAATGTTATGGCAGGGGGAACTCACCTCAACTTCATCACTTTCATTTATATCTTTATTATAACCTACAGGTGGTGGGAATCTCACATCATGGAATGGAATCTGTCTCTCTGGCTGCCAGCTGAAAATAAACAAACATGTAATTATTTAACTTAATCAACATAATTTTTGATTAAGTGTAACCCTCGATTTCTAGTTTAAAGAAGCAAATGCTTTTAAAATGGCCAGTTTTTGCTGAGTATAATGGCAATAAAGACACATTTCAACAAAGTCTGCATGCAGCATAGCAACCTTGTACTTCCACTTGGAATATTTCTCTAAACACAATAGATCAACAATTTTTATTTTCAAAAAAAGTCTTTCTTCAATAATTTCAACTTCTACTAGTTTTAAATATTAAGGACAGAAATTTCCTTTGATGCTTAAATTAAATGTTAGTATCAATAACTGTTAGTAATATCATCAACATACTTGTACTTGCAAAGGAATTTTAACCACATTCCAATAATCAAAGAAACTGCCCTCTAATTCCCAAGCAAAATGGGGCAGTCAGCACATTAGCAATTCACAACTCACTTTTCCCCCTTTAAATTTTAGATCCCACGAGGCGGTCAATTCCATGGGTAGCTGGCTGCTGATCAGAATGACGTATCAGCATGCACTGGGTTGGTGGGGGTCTCCTAAACCACAGAAACCCGATGGAGATAGCCTATAGGAGTTCAATTAAGTTGTCTATTTTTTTGTAATTTAAAATGATAAGGAAAACTTTGAAAGATACCAACTTATTCTTTCATACCCAAAAAGATTATAAATTATTAAAAGAAAATTTGTAAAACACTGGAGGATTCAACTTCTGGAGCAGTCACTTCTGGGTTCTTTCTGGGGTGTCTTATCAGCAAATATTACAATTTGTTCTATGTCTAAAGTCTACGTTATGTTAAGGGGCTTTCTTAGTAAAATCCTATTGAGGAAAGTGCTGATTTTTTTTAAAAGGATATAAGAGGGCAAGTGATTAAGTCAGAATTTGTAGACATCTGAATAGCACTGAAATTAGCAGAACCCTCCCCCTGACTTATTACACACACTTGAAAACTATAGAAACTTTTTAAACAGTCTTTACTTGAGAAAAGCCTTTTTATACTAACTGAAAATTAGAGGCTTTAACATGTTACAAAACCATTAGTAAATTTGTAATGCATGTAATAATGCAAAATATAATTTTCTTGATTCCAATGAAGGAAAATTATTTAAATTCTTAAGTGTATAGAGATAAAAATTCAAATTCGTTATTTAAAAAAGTGAAATATGGAAGGTAAAAACAAAGCACCTAAAACAATCTGGAATAATAGAAAAGCAGTGTTTCTTTATGACTGACAGGAAAGGAAGAATAAATCTCAACTAAAGTTCTTTGAAACACTGTTCAAACATTCTCCAAGAAGACAAGGAAAAACTGATGCTCTACTTCAAATTCTCAGGACTACAGACACAGCTTGAAGAGATACTTTTATGCAGATGTGATACAGGAGATAAATAATTAGGAGGGGAACAGAATAATTTTATATTTACAGTAGAAATCTGGTTGAAAAATCAAAGAGAACTGATCTGATAAATTAATGTATAAACTAGACACATTTTTGACATAAATGGAGGTAATAAGTATTTGCTTAATATTATAAATTACAGAGAAACTAACTCTCCTATTATGGCAAACAGTGTTAACCTAGTAAAGGGATAAGAGTATAACTGCAAGAAAAATTACTCTCCAAGTTATCAAACATTCCTCCATTAGAGGTATGATAATATTGTTGCCTACTATACAACCAGATACTCAAAAAAGAAAAGTGGCAAATGCTGAAACTTTGGGGTTTAGGTATGCAAAGAAAGACATTCTATTCAAACTTGTATTGTGGACCGAGATTACCAGGGAACAGGTTTGGATATTCTCAACCCTTTTACCTCCATCTCTCTAAACGTGTCTCAGGCATCTAAGGATACTACTACTTTGTCCTGCTGCTAGCTAAAGAACCAACTTACAATCTAATTACAAGAGTTGCTAGACATTAAATGCAGACTTGCACTTAATTTTTAGCTGATTTATTGAGAAAAGAGTCATAAACCATATAATCCACCAATTTCAGTGTACAATTTAGTGGCTTACAGTATGTTCACACATATGCACAATCAATACTAGTAATTTTAGAACATTTTCATCATCTCAGACAAGTACTAAGCAGGCACTAATCAATTTTCTGTCTCTACATATTTGTAGCCTGCTTTTGATATACTATTACTTCTCTTAGTACATAAAAACCCAAACTACTAACTGTTGGTCATTTATCAGTATTCAGCAAAATCCCAAAATTGTGACCCCACTTACACTTTAGTTTATAGGTACTTTAGTATATTGAACAATTACTATGAAAATAGCCTTTGTTAGTATTCAAAAATGTGTCAAAAGACTTGTCTTCCCCAATAAAATGTTAACATCTGTACTTTAGTACAACTAATATTTCCAGATAAATATCTTTATTTTCTGATCTAACTAAAGAATGCAGAAAAGATCTTCTTATTATTGATTATAAATATATGAAGGTAATGGTAAATATGACTGTTTCTGATAAAATATACTAGACAACTAAAAACATTAGTTTTAGATTTAATGTTACAAAATCCAGATGATTTTGTGGCCAATATCCATAAATCCCTTCATTTTCATCTTTTACAAAAATTACAAATATTCCTATTTACTAATACAGAAGATTCTGGTTTCTTTTTCACAGTCAAAGGGACTAAATCAAGCATCAAGATTATATGATAGGGAGCTCCTAAGTCATTAACAAGAACAGTCATTCCACTGACTGTTTTCAGGAACTTCTTGGTCAGTAATATGAAAAACATTCAGACTAGACTTGAATTTTAAAGATAAAAAGCAAACAGAGAAATCATCATAAAATATTACATGATCTGAACATTAAAATTATATATTAAGACACTTACTTGTTTTCAAATGAAACTGTTATTGAATCCTCATGAACATCCTTTACAAATGCCTGTAAAAAAAACACAATTAACTCAAGACCATTTTTAGTTAAATTTTAGAGATACCAAACATTCTATGCTGAAGAATAAAACGGAGCATTGAGGAACAAGTTTGTTTTTGAGGTTTATTCATCCATTTATCACGTCTATATGGCCACCTACTATATGGTGTACTCTAGGAGTAGAAACAGTTCAAACACTAAACAAGAAAAATTGCTCCACAGAGGTCAGAATCTCATAAGAGTTAAGTACAATGAAAATTACAATGTGGTGGTGAGTATAAAGTTGGAAGTACACTTTGGAATAGTATTATTCAAAATTAAGAAACTTGTTCCAGGGGCTGGGGTTGTGGCTCAGCAGTAGAGTGCTCGCCCCGCACATGTGAGACCCTGGGTTCGATCCTCAGCATCATATAAAAATAAATAAGTGAAATAAAGATATTGAGTCCAACTACAACTAAAAAATAAATATTTTTTAAAAAGAAACTTGTTTCAGAGCCATATGTCAGCCAGCATAGATGTGTTGCAGTCTATGAACAAATGCTATTTCCTTCCTATTGACCTTCGCCTCTTTTCACCTAGTTATCTTCTATTGATTTTTCAGGTTTCAATACAGATGCCCCTTTCTATGAAAACCTAGAAGACTAGGTTAAATCCCTATCCTCTGCTTTCTCAGCATTCTGTGCTTATCCCTACTATAAGCTTACTCCAGTATATTATTGTTCATTTTCTCACTAACAGTAATATTGGGTGTTTTGGGGTCTTATTTACTTACACTATGGATTGAACCTAGGGGTGCTTTACCAATGAATACACCCCCTTTCTTCTTCTTCCGTTTTTTTTTTTTTTTTTTGAGAAGGTCTTGCTAAGTTGCTGAGGCTGGCCTCCAACTTACTATCCTCCTGCCTCAGCCTCACAGAGTTGCTGGGATTGCAGGCATATGCCACCATGCCACCAGGTCTTATTTTATTTAGTTATTTTCCAGAGTGCCTAGTATTAACTTAATGATTACTTACTAGGTACTAGGCAGATAACTGCCTAAGAAGTTGCTCTGCCAGCCCTGGGAAAATTGTGTGTGGTGTTGGTGGTGGTAGATTGATAAGGGAAACTTATTGAAAGAGGTCAGGTTTCTACTAAACCTCAAAGAATAAGGGAAGAATTAGCTAACCAAGAGAATGTAGGATGCAGAAGCATTCTACCAAGTCAAAGAGGCAGAAAGAACAAAAGCTCAGACTATGAGAAACAGCTTTAAGTGTGACAGAAATAAATTCTTTATCAACAAGGAAGTCAAGAAAACTCAATGGGGAAAGAATAAGTGTTTTCAATAAGTGGTGTTGAAAAATTGGATATCCATGCAAAACAATAAACTTTGAACTTTACCTCACACCACATAGAAAAATCAACTAAAATACATCAGATACCTAAATGTAAGGGCTAATGCTATGAAATTCTTAGGGAAAAACAGTAAATCCTTGTGATTTGAGATATTAGATATCCATATTGGTTATTCGAAAGAAGATTAGTTTGGATTAAGACCATTCTTCAATGTCTGTACTCTCAGTAACTGGCACAATTTCTAGCATATAGTGGGCATCTTATAAATGTCTTGATAAACAAACATGTCTTCAAAAGTCTGATGCAAAAGGATTCTTTAAAATATGAAACTCCCCTTAATATCAAATTAAAGCATGTGAATCAAACATTAACTAACAGTTACTAAGAAAAAACTATGGAAGCTGAG